AGTACCCTACCACTTGAACCATTCCACCACCAATCCTTTCCAGTTGTTTCTGATGAAATGGTTATAGCATTACTTCTGGACTTCTTTGATCTGATCTGGAATCACCTATTTTATTACAAATTCTATGGATTCTGTCTGTCTGTATGCAAAAGTCCCTACTTTAAAAATAAACCCTCTTAAGAGTTAGTGAACAAAAATGACTGTTTAATTTCTTTTTAAAAAATTGAGTGTGGGTGGCTGTAAAATAGAAGTGTGTAGGGGCTGGGGATGTAGCTCAGTGATAAAGTACATGCTTAGTATGCCCAAGGCTCTGGGTTTGGTTTCCAGCACTGCCTCTGGAACTGGTGAGGCACTAGGAAGGTCTCCAAAAGGGAGGAGACCTCTACTTGGCCCTTGGCTATAGGGTTTGTGATGTTGCTGCAAAAAGGAATTTTAGGATATGTTGAGGTTAGAGACCAAGAAAATTGATTAATAAAGCAAAGGAAAGGACAGTGCATACCCAGACATTGTATGGACACATGAAGATTGGTGTACTGAGTATTCTAACATTAGGGTTATTTATGAGGAAAAAGTGGGTTGGGTGTGGTTTAAACTTACCTGAGGGTAAGTACTCCCTTTGTTCTGGCACCACGTATACTGTTACACTGTTTGCTTGGGCTTTTTTTTTTTTTTTTTTTGGCAGTATTGGGGCTTGAACTCAGCGTCTTCACCTTGAGCCACTCTACCAGTCCTATTTTTGCGAAGGGTTTTTCAAGATAGGGTCTCGCGGAACTACCCAAACCGCGATCCTCCTGATCTCTGCCTCCAGAGTAGCTAGGATTATAGGCGTGAGCCACTGGGCCCTTGTATTTTATACTGTTTTGACTATTACTTGGGCCCAGAGATACCAAGTCAGTTTACTAAATTTGGGTCATTGTGTCATAGATACCCATTTTCCTTGAGTATCCCTTTAAATAAAGGATGAGTTTCATCAGATGTTCCTTTCAAGACAGACGTGATTCCATTACTCTTTCTTTGCAAGCACTTCTATATCAAAGAAGTCATTTTACCATATATTTTGTTCCCTTCACAAGTATCTTTAAGTTACGCTAGTTTAGTTTGCAAAGCATAGTAATCATTTGGGTAAGTGGGTAAGATCACAGGGAGAGAGCTGCTTTTTTTTTTTTTTTAAATATATGTTGCAGCTCAGTGAGAGATTGTGAAGCATAAAGCAAAGAAAGTAATGCCTGTGTGCTTTTAATCAAGCTATTCACTAATAGAATGTTTATCTCTGAATTCCTGGCTTTTTCTCCATGCCTCTCTTTTTCTGGGGGGAGGGGGAGATTGTGTTTATGAAAGAGGGATAATGCTTTTTATTGAATAGTCTGGATGTATTGTGCTTTGATTATGTGCATATATTTTCTCAGTTCTAGGGAATGGTGGGGATTCTATCTTGTGTGTGTCATTTGTAGAGTCGAACAGATATTTGTGTGTCTACCACATGCCAGGTACTGACTAGGCAATAAGAAACTAAAGATTCAACAGCCAATTTCCTGGAAGGCATATCCAGGAAATGACATGTTAGTGTTCATTAAAATGATGTAATGATGTAATGATGAAATGATGGAAAAAGATACTAAATCACAAAGGAAGAAACTTTAGTCCTCCTGGAGAGAGGAGGAGGTAAAGGGATATTTTGTAGAGATGGTAGCTACAAGCTGAGTTTTGAAGAGTGAATAGGCATTTACGGCAAAAAGAAAGGAGACTTGGGCCAGAAAAAACTCCCTCAGAGTTGAGGGAGTAAGGTCTAGTGTGTGAGGGTCTAGGACCTGGCAGGCTAGGAGTATGTCTAGGTTTTCTCAGAGTGTGTTCTATGGAAATCCAAGCTCCATGAAATTCCCTGGGCACTGGAGGGGAGGGCACTTAGGGATTCATGTGAATACCACCACATTATAGTCAAAAAGAAAAGACCTGTTTCCTGTTTACATATACCAGAGACAATGTTTAGGGAAGGGCTACAGTTAGGAGTCAGGAGTCCCAAGGGTTTTAAGCCAGGAGATGACTTCACTTGCTTTCCTTGAGGACATGACCTGACAGTGAAGGAGGATAGGTTGGAGTGAGGGGATATCCCTAGAAGAAACCAGATCAAAACTGTTACTTAAAATCTGACCATCGTCATAAAGACATTAACCTAAAAATGTGGGCATTTTGGGTATTTCTAAGAAAAAAAAACAACAGCAATGAACTACAGTTGCATGTAGTTGACAGATTTTAAAGGAGAGGAGAGTTTTGGGACACAGGTCAGTTTTGTTTCTAACCTTGGAAAGATTAAATAGAAATACTTTGTAATACTTTCTGATTAAAGAAAACCTTTAGCTTAAATTGTGCTTTATGAGTATGGTTTTAAAAAAATCACTTCCAATATGATGTCTTGAAATAATAGTGAAATTTGGGGGGGGTGAATATTTTAAAAATAGCCAAGTAATATTTACTTTTTCCAGTGCATTATAATGTATTTTTATGATTAAGTCCATTTTTTTTTTTTACTGTGACATATTCATTTCATTGGCCATTTTTTCCTCCTTCTGGTGGTACTATGGTTTGAACTCAGGGCTTCCCACTTGCAAGGCAGGCACTCTACCTGACCTATGCCTTCAGCCCCAGTTTTTTAAAAATGGATTGGATTTTTAGTGTTTTGTTAGTAATTTTTAGGGACTCTTTATATATTGAGATTAGCCATTTATTTGTTTTATGAACTACAAATATTTTCCCCAGTTTGCTTTTTTTGAGGAGTGGGCCATATACTGGGGATTGAACTCAGGGCCTCACCCAGTTTGTCTTTTTTGCTTTGTAAAAGATTCTTACATTTAATATAATTGAATATGTCAGTCTTTTTATGAAACTGGTTTTTGAATTATAGTTAGAAAGGGCTTCTGGATTCTGGGGTCATAGAAAGGAATTTACCTAGGTTTTATTCTAGAATTTTTATTTATGTTTTTATGATTTACATCTAAATACTTGATTTATTAGGAACTTTTGCTAGTGTATGATGTATGATATGAATCCAGTGTTTTCCAGATGGGTGTTTTAATTGCTCAAACATCATTCATTCATTATGTAGTCTTTTTCCCTGCTTGATTTTGAGGCATTTGTTTTTCATTTGTCATTGTCTGTATATGGAATTGTGTCTAATTGTGGAGTGTCAGTTTGTCCTGTTGATCTGTTTGTGCACTAGAGCAATGTGATGTTAAGGCTGTATAATATGTAACGATAGAGCTGGTTCTTTTCCAAAAGGCTTCCCTTTGGAATTTACTTATTTATTTATTTTACTTTTGTATCAGTTTCTTTCTTGACTATCCCATAAAAGGATCCTATGTGACATCTAAGGAGAGAGGCACAAATGGGGACTAGATTATCTGCCAAAACTCAGATGAGGAAGACAGCTTCTCAAGGGAGAAGAAAATAGCACTTTAGCAGAATCCTTCACAGGGGGAATAAGCAGAGACAGAGATCGGTCTGATTAGGTAAAGTGGGAGCCTAAAGCCAGGACTCCAACCGCAGTGAATGAGGGGTAACATAATGAAAAGCTCTGGCCTTCACTTTCACAGAGCTACTGTACTAGCTAAGCCACCTCTATCTTTTTCCTTATTTTTCCAGGTCATTTTTATAAAGCACTGGCTGCAAATTGGGACTAGGATCATCTGCCCCAAATGTAGGCAGAATGTAGAGATTCTGAATCACTTAGCAGCAAATGGAGTGAAGGCTGCAGCAGGTTTGCACTGGGTAACCTAACCCAAGGCCTTAGGAACAAGGACTAAGAACAAATAAGAAAAGACAGCTCCTCTGTCCTCTAGCACATAAAGGGTCAGGGAAAGACAAAACTGCTAACAACTGCTGCAGGGTCTTTGGTCCAAAATCCTCAGTACTTTCCTGTGATTGAATTCCTAATTGGCAGGTTGTGGGGCACATCACAGTCTTCAGCTCCATAGTTATTCTCATGTCTGGTTCATTTGTTCACCTTTTTTTTTTATTCATATGTGCATACAATGTTTGGGTCATTTCTCCCCCCTTCCCCTACCCCCTCCTTTACCCCCCCACCCCTCCCTCTCCCCCCACCCCTTCAATACCCAGCAGAAACTATTTTGCCCTTATTTGTAATTTTGTTGAAGAGAGAGTATAAGCAATAATAGGAAGGACCAAGGGTTTTTGCTAGTTGAGATAAGGATAGCTATACAGGGAGTTGACTCGCATTGATTTCCTGTGCATCATTCATTCACCTTGAGTGAACAAGGGGACATTGGCTCTAACCGATATTTTTCTAGCTGGTGCTCAATGCCCCATCGGGCAGAAAGATTTCTGGCAGCTTAGAGGCACTCTGGGCCTGCTGAACCACAGCAGAACACTTCTCACGCTGCTGTTCTCAAACAGACCTTCAATGTGCGGTATTCCATGAGAACCATCAGGGAAAGTCAGCAGGCCAAAACCTCTACTCTGCCATTTTTAAATTCCCTCTCAAAGGTCATGTTAAATCAAATGAAGACTCCGACACCATTAAACTTGCCCTGGGCAAACTTCTCCTAATACCTTGAACCATCTGAGAAGGTCAGTACCCCAAAGCTATTAAAGAGCCCATTTTCAAAATGACCCAAGTAGATGCCACCATCTGCAAACATCAGTTGACCAAAACCATGTGTGCATCCTCCTTCTCGCCACAAAATTCCTCCTCACTGGAGTATGTGAAGGAAACTTTTGTCAGGGTCATGGTGGCACCTTACAGAAGAAAAGGGTGAAAACTGGGTCCTTGCTTCCTAGGATTTCAGGTGTAAGCCACTTTCCCTTTGGGATTTTCCTGACTTGTCTTATGTTTTATTTTTCACGTGAACTCTAGAATCAGCTTACTTATTTCTAGAGGCTAATCCTGTAGCATTTGAGGAGGGAGGTGTTGGAGGGATCACTTTAAATTTATAATCTCTTTATGCTAAGGAATCTGAATTGTAGCTTTAATCTTTTTTTTTTTACAGATGATATTAACTGTGTTCTTGAGCAACAATGAACAGATTTTAACAGAAGTTCCTATAACACCAGAAACAACCTGTCGAGATGTTGTAGAATTTTGCAAGGAACCTGGAGAAGGCAGTTGCCATTTAGCTGAAGTATGGAGGGGAAACGGTATGTATTGGGTTCTCTAAAGATGACTATGTATAATTCAACATTTGTCAAATGGAAAATATTGCTTCTGGTTCTTAGTTGTTTGTGTTAATAAGGAATTGAGTAATAAAAATGAAAATGTATTACATGGGAGTAGGATTTTACAAAGTGGTATTTGTAAAAAAAGTAAATGTGCAATTTGACTCATACTATAGCTATTTAAGTTAAACAGGTAAGGTAGATCCAACTTCTATTTGAGGCTTCTCGTCTCATCACCACCTACCATATGAGAGCTCTGGGTCCTCTGAGGCCTTACTGTGTTTTCTCTAACTTGTGTTGAATTGGCAACGCTTACTTTTTTTGCATTTTTTGAGCTTTTTTTTTTTTTTTTTTTCCCCAATGATTGGGGTAAAACCTAGAGCTTTACATGTACTAGGCACATATTCTACCACTACTCCACCCATGTTCAGGAACTCTTTTTTCTTTTTTCTTATAACATCATGAAGGCAGAAATATTATGTTCTCCCATATGCAAAACCCTGTAAAATTGCAACTTCTCCATAAATAGTATTAAATTGAGGAGAGTAAAATATGTCAGTGAACAGGGCAGAAAACATTGGAGGTAATAGGATTATAATACAGGAAATTCTGCAAAATAATTTGCACTCTTAAGAAGGGCTTGAATTTAGATAGGATAGGGTATCCTAAGTAAGGAAAGTTATGTGAACAAAGAAAAAATAAGGGAAACTGAACACAGAGTGCTGCTAAGACAGCTAAGGGACTACTGGGGTTGAGACCAGGTAGGCAGTAAAGCGGAGACTAGACTAGTTCATGTAAGATCTTCAGCACTATAGAGAGTTGTAGGTTTTGCTTGGCACATAGAATGAAGTTTGTATAGATTTTAAATCGGGAATGATACTCTGAAAACAATGGTTAGAGGAACTGTGATCAATTGGAACATGTTGTGTTTGAGGCAATAATGAGATAGGTATCCAAATAGGAATGTTAGTTTTTGTTTGTTTATGGTACTGGGTTTGAATTAGTGCCTCTACTTTCTAGACTAGCACTCTTCCACTTGAGCCATGCCCCCAAGCACCTAATGAAAATGTTTAAAGGAGATAATCAAGTCTTTTAATCGAGTTTAGAGATAATCAAGTTTTTTAAAAGCCATTTCTGTCTCCTTGTTGAGAAATAATTCACAAACCATACAACTCACTCATTTACAGGGTGCAGTTTGGTAGTTTTAGTATATTCATGGAGTTGTGCAACTATCATCACAATCAATTTTAGATAATTTTCCTCGCTCCATAAGTAGTAGTGACTCCCTTTTCCCCTTAACTCTTTCAATCATAGTTAACCACTGTGATCTCTCTTGTTGGACTAAGATTCCTAAAGGCAGGAACTTGTCTGTTTTCTGGCCATCAAACTCTCAGTGCCCAGCCTAGGGCCCATAATAGGCATTTAGTAAGTACTTAAGTGAATGAGTCAGATGAGGAAGAAAAAGAATTTTCTAGTGGATATAATTCAAAAGGAGAGGGGAAAGTTCTGTAACAGACTTTCTCAATCTTTTCGCCCTGGAGGAACCTTCAAAGTGATTTTCAAGTTCCATAGAGTACTTACTGTATCTATAACTCATGGTATATTAGTGTGATCACTATGTCATAGATACAGTAATCCAATAGTAGTTATCCATACTTTTGAATAAGAATATTTCTTTTTAGATCCATGTATAAGTTTGCTAAAGCTGCCATACAAAGTACTATAGACTGGGTAACTTAATAAAAAATATTTTCTCACAATTCCAGAGGCTAGAAGTCTGAAGTCAGGGTATTAGCAACCTTGGTTTCTTCTGAGGCCTCTCTTAGTGACTTATAGATGTTGTCTTCTTCCACCTGTATCCTCATATGGTTCTCTTCATTTTATAAGGACACTAGACATTTTGGATGAGGGTCTACCTAGATGACCTCACTTAAACTTACTCTTTTTTTTTTTTTGCGGTAGTGGTGGTTGAACTCAAAGCCTACACCTTGAGCCACTCCACCAGCCCTTTTTTTTGTGAAGGGTTTTTCAAGATAGGGTCTCATGAAACTATTTTCCTGGGCTGGCTTCAAACCACCATTCTCCTGACCTCTGCCTCCTGAGTAGCTAGGATTACAGGCACGAGCCACCAGTGCCTGGCAACTTATTACTTCTTTAAAGACCTCATCTCCAAATACAGATCACATTCTGAGTTACTGGAGGTTAGGACTTCAACATAGGAATTTAGTGGGAACACAACTTAGTCTGCTAATAGTCTGTTAACTTGACCAGTTTGTCACCCTATTATTTTTGTGGTTCCCCTCCCCAAACAGGTGCCAATTCCAATATAAATTAATAGTGTAGGTAGACCCTTCAGTTTCCCCCATTTGTTAAATTTCCTATTTGATTTTTTCACCTTATCCAGTAATACCTAAAACTCTTACAGATTTCCATTACACATGATATGAATGACTTATATTGTATATTTCATCATATGTATAAGGTAGTTTTTTTCCACCTTAAAATGAAAATGGTGTTTAGTTAACCTTTCATACAATAAAATAGTGAAGCTTAGCTTACTTTTCTTGGTATTAATCTTTCCTTCTAAATATTTTATAAATTTGGTTTGGGGTGTGGCTCAAGTAGGAAATGTCTTGTCCAGCAAATATCAGGCCCTGAGTTCAACCACCCCCCCAAAAAAGAATCCCAAAAAAATTGTCAAAAAAAAATTCTTAAATGTTTTACAAATTCACTAATGGAGACAATAAATTTCTACTAAATAACTGGCTTAAGACAAATGGGATTTTATTTCTATTAAGTTATGTTCAGACTTTGGTAAATTTAATGGTTGTAAATTGATTTTAAATTAGCATAAAAAACATAAAAAATTGGTCAACACTGTCGATTAGTAAAGCAACTAAAATTAAAGCTACTAAAGCCATAAGCCAAGCAATATGAGTTAAAATATATGGCCTAATGGACCAGGAGTGTAGCTCAAGTAGTAAAATGGCTTGGCTACTGAGTGTGAGATCCTGAGTTCTAACCCCAGAACTGCAAAAAAAAAAGCCGAAGACACAATGCACAATATACAATATATAAAACCAAGGGGCGCAATTAGGTTGCATGTAGGTTTTGCAGTTTAAAAGGGCCAGTACACGTATTTTAAAAATCTTTTTTATCAGTTTGTACATATAAAAATACTACTTTTGAAACTAAAAAATATGGAACAAAATTCACTTCTTTAATATTCAACTTGTGCTTATGCTGTACAAATACTCAGTCCTGAGTTGAATTTGAGCTAAACAGACATGGATTTCATTTTCAATGAAGATATGAAGATAAAACCATCGATGTCCTTGCCCTTGGTATTTGTTAATAAGGCAGTACACATGTAAGACAATGACAACATCCTCATCACAACGTGTGTTGCATTTCTATCAATGGCAAGGTTTTCTCTAGGGAAATCTAGAACACATTTAGTAGAGGAGTGAGTCACACCTTGAATTTGTGAATAGATTGCAGCTCACAAAGTTTTTTTTCACAAAGGCTGTTTGTTTCATAGATGGTGCCTTCTTGCTGCATCCTCACATGCAGGAAGGGGCAAACAACTGTGATCAGTAAATTACTTAATCATAGTGCAAGTACTGTATATCAAAATGTGTGGGATGCCTGGGAATATGATGTCCTTATGTAATATTCCAACCAGGAGTAATCATCTGAATCTAATCATGAGAAGACATTAGATACACTTCAAGTTGAGGATGTTTTATGAAATATCTAGGCTATATTTGTTAAAAAATGCCAGTGTCATAAGAGACAAAGGCCAGGGAAATGTTTGAGATTAAAGGTAACTAAAGACATATCTCATAAGTGCTAGTTACATAACTCAAGTGGTAGAGAGCACTTGCCTAGGAATCGAGAAGTCCTGGGGTCAATCAATACTCAGTATTGTAATCAGTCAATCAATAAATAAATAAAATAAAGAAAAAAAAATCTCAAGTAAATGTAATGGGTGATCCTATACTGGAGAGCAGTGCTATAAGGATATTATTGGGGCAGTTGACAAACTTGACTGTAGAGTAGTTTAAATGTATTATATCTGTTGAATTTCCTGAATTTGATAACTGTACTATAGTTATATAGGAGAATTTTCTTTAGAAAACATTGGAAAATACACCAGGAATCATTAAGAGATAAAGAATTATAATATATGCAACTTAGTATCAGATGGTTTAGCAAAATTTATCATGTATATGTAAGTTATAGCTAAAATAGTACTTGCAGTAAAAATTACTTAAATCCATTCATTGAAAAATAAGCATCTGAAAGTAAACCAAAACACCCAATTTAAGAAGCTAGAAAAATAAAATAAATCTAAAGAAAATAGAAGGAAGGAAATAAATACTAAAGCAGGAAATGAAAAAAATGTGAGACTCAATAAAACTAAAAGTTGTTTCCTTGAAAGAATAAAATAGACGGATTAAGATTAAAAAGGAAAACAAAAAAAGCACAGATAAGAAAAAAGGACCTAACTGTAATTACAGCAGAGATTTAAAAAACAAATATAGTACTGTGAATAACATCAATAAATTTAATAAATTAGATGAAATATAAATGGAAATTACCAGGATTCATTCAATAAATACTTATTAAGCATCTGTTTTGTGCCAGGCACAGTCCTTGGCAGGGAGGGGTACTAGTCAATCAAGAGCCAAGATTCATGTTCCCATGGAATTTATATTTTAGAAGGGAAATAACAGAGTGTAAATGATAAATTAACTATGTAGTCTGTTGATGAGCAATAAATACTTTGAAAAGAAAATAATGGATAGGAATATTGTCTCTGCCCAAAATGAGTAAATAAAGAGGAAACAAGCATATAAAATGAATTGAATCTGTGATTGTCCCCAGAGACTTCAAACCCAGATGGGTTTACAGGCAATTTTCACACCTTCAAAGAACAGATCATCCCTATTTTTTATTAAAAAAAAAATTTCAAATGAAAAGAGAGATGACCACTCAATTCATTTTATGAGACCAGTGTAATTTCTGTACCCAAACTGAGCAAGAGTAGAAAAGTGTAAGCCAGCCTTACTTTGAACATGGATGCAAAAATCCTAAATAAAGTACCAGCTAATCCATTTCAACAGCATATTGAAAAATCATGGCCAAGTAAAATCTTTTCCTAGAAGACAATGCAAGAGATTCCAAGGTCTGTGAATAGGCTGCATGAGTGAAGAGCAGTATCACCATTTCAGTGTAATAAAAGAGAATGCCGTTCATGTTCATAATTATTAGCAAACTGGCAGAGAAGGGAGCACCCTTAATTCAATAAATTAGTGTTTTCAAAAAACCCTCAACTGTCAGCCTAGGCAAATAGTTCAAGAGACCCCCTTCACTAAAAGTAACCAGAGCAAAATGGACTGGAGATATGGCTCAAATGGTAGTGCACCTGCCTAGCAAGTATAAGGCTCTGAGTTCAAATTCCAGTATGGACCAAAAACAAAGAAACCTTCTCACTTGGTTCTGAACTATAGAAGCTTAACCATTAAAGCCAGGAACAAGAGGATACATACCTCAGTTTCTGTTCAACGTTGTGTTTGGAGGTTCTAAGCCAATACAACAAGATTAAAAAAAAAAAAAGCAAGGTAAGAGATTAGAAAGGAAGAGCTGAACTGTCCAGATTTGGCAACCATTATTTTTGTCTGCATAAGAAAACCTGCAGATGAACTCATTAAATACAGTAGGCCACATACCTAGAATAGGAATATGGCAGTAATAATAATAACTATTATTATATAATTATAATAATTATTATTACACAATTATAATATATAACAAATATTTTATTACATATTATGTACAAATATTAATATTATATTATAATTATAATAATTATTATTATTTTGTGGTACTGGGTTTAAACTCAGGGCCTGTACCTTGAGCCACTCCACCAGCCCTTTTTTGTGATAGGCTTTTTTGAGATAGGGCTTTGTAAACTGTTTGCCCAGGCTGGCTTTGAACCTCAATCCTCCTGATGTGTACCTCCTGAGTAGCTAGATCACAGGCATGAGCCACTGGCACCCACCAAGAGCCCATCCATCCCTACGCAGGGGAGACTTTGTAACTTTGGCTGACACCAGAGTCACCTGTGGAGTTTTTTTTCCAGTGGTACTGGAATTTGAACTCAGGGCCTCATGCTTGCTAGGAGGCTCTCTACCACTTGAGCCACTCCACCAGCCCTGTAGTTATTAATACAATACAATAAATCACAATTTAAAAGACCATAGGATAAACAAAATGTGCCTGGAATATCCTAATTGTTCACCAGGGTAACAAAGTATTCAAAAGAAAAAAAAAGTCAAGGTCATGGTAAAGGAATACAGAAGCTAACCTGGAAGAGCTCCCAGTGATTTAAACTGGAACAAATTGAGCAATAAAGTAACATAATACTGAATTATAACTTAAAGCATATATTCATAAGTCCATGCTGATATAAACGTTGAATAAATAAATATACAGTTGGGGAGAAGGCACAAGTCTTCCTTTCAGAAATATTTCAAAGAACATATGTAGATACTCCCTCTTCCAGGAGGTGGAGCTCAGCTCTTCCCCACACTGGTCTGGGGTTAGTGACTTCCTTCCAAGGAACAGAGCAGGGCATGGAAAGACATAACTTCTGAGGAAGAGACCTGGCAGACACTACCTCCACCACCAAGGAAGCCTCATGCCATTGGAGACATACCTGTGTGATGCAGTGAGGAGGGCATTTCACCTCTGTGGGATTCTCCCCCCAGAAGCGAGGACTTCAGTCTCACCATGAGAAAAAGATCAGACAAATCCAAATTAGGGACATTTTACAAAATACTTGATCAGTTTTCAAAACCATGAAAGTCATGAAAAACAAGAACTGAGAAACTATTTTATCACAGATAGCAAGACTTATTTGTAATTGAGGGATTATGGGGCTGGCACAGGCATTGATCCATAGCCAACAGAATTGAAAAGACAACTCAGAAAGATCCTGTGCACATATGAAATCCTGTTCAATTCCTGTATCAGAGGTGGCTGTTACGTGTCTATGGGGAAGGGATAGATTATTTAATAAATGATGCTGGAAGAATTGATTATTCAAGCAAGAAAAAATAAAGCCAGATCTTTATTCTGTAAACAGAAATAAATTCTCTAAGGTGAACAGCAATACTTTAAAATTTATAGGCAGAAAAAGAGAGTATCTTTTTGACCTTAGAGTAGAGGAGGATTTAGTGTACAAAAAAACTAGCAGGGTGCGATAGTTCTCACCTATAATCCTAGTTACTCAGGAAGCTGAGGAGAGAGAATTGAGCCTGGAAGTTCAAGACCAGCTTGGGTAACATTATGAGGACCGCCCCCTTCCCCAGTCTCAAAAAATCAAAAGAAAACACACACCTCACACACAAAAACACCCTCAAACTAAAGTTGGACTGATAAATGTTTACATTTAAAATTTTAAAACTTTTGTACAAAAAAGATAACAAAATGAAAAATCTGTTGCCAAAAACTGTAACCATCTCAGGATTAGTGTCCAAAATATAAAGAACTCTTTCAAATAGCTAAGAAAGCTCAATGGTAGAGCACTTGACTAGCATGCACAAGGCCCTAGGTTTAACCCTCAGCACTGCCTAAAACAAAACAAAATCTCATATAGCTAAAAAAGAAGAAGAAAAAAGGTTTCAGAGTGCCTGCAATAACTTATAGGGAAGGAAAATGGTTGCATTATAAGCATAAAAATGGTACCTTAAAATGTATCAACTATATTAATGCTCTTCTCAAGTAATTGGTAAGGAGATATTTTGTTAATGAGCTTTGCTGTTTAAAACATTTTGAAATACAGTTAATTCCATAAAATTTAATTTTTAGTTGGGGACTGGCTCAAAGGGTAGAGTGCCTGCCTAGCAAGTGCAGGGCCCTGAATTCAAACCCCAGTACCACCAAAAAAATTAATTTTTATTATTAATTGGTAAATTTTGGTCTCTGAAAATGCTGACTAACTTCACAGTAATGTTGTCTGGATTGCCAGGAAGTTCTCTGGTCAGCCTTTGCAATACCTCATTGCCACAAGTGACATTTTAATGAGTAACATGGTGTGGCCAGTTCATTTCATTTATTTAAGAGTGGGAGGCCCATCCTTTTCTGACAAGTTACATATCATTAAAGACTTGTTTTCCTTATTCCCTATTTAATGTTGCAAAATTACTTTTTTGTTTGTTTGTTTTGAGACAGGGTCTTGCTATATGTATCCCAGGTTGAAAGTTGGCTTCAAATTTTACAATCCTCCTGCCTCAACCCCTCGATTGTAGGAATTACAGTCATGCGCCACCCACGCTGGGTAAAATTACTTTTACATATACTTCTTGTGTTTATATGTTGCTATTTCCCATTAATATTCCTACTTTTGTTTATTAAAGTTAAAATTCTGTTCTTGGAGTGTCCTTGAATTCTAATATATGTGTGTGTGTGTGTGTGTGTGTGTGTGTGTATGCACAGTATAACTATTTAAGTTTACTTTTAGTTTTCACTTTTGGCTGGGGTCATTGTTTTTGTTTCTGAGTAAGTTAAGGTGTGGTCTTTTTCCTAGAGCGCCCCATACCCTTTGACCACATGATGTATGATCACCTGCAGAAGTGGGGGCCCCGCAGGGAAGAAGTGAAATTTTTCCTTCGACACGAGGACTCCCCAACTGAGAGCAGTGAACAAGGTAGATAAATGCTTTCTTTCCAATTTATTAACTTTTGCCATGCAAGTAGATTTAAGAAAAAATTGAAATAAATATCAAAGTAAGCTTTTCACACATTTTCCCTCTTCACTCACAAGTGGTGACAGAGAGAGTTGGTATTCCATGTTTCTTTGACTTCTGTTATTTCAGGTTATCTACAGGCATCAGCCCTTGCCTCCTTCTCAGAACCCCAAGTTGGTCAGATAATGTGCTCAAACACGTAAAGGGACTTGCTGTATAAAAGGATTGCTTTTGGTAAATACCAGATGGGTCAAATATTAGATCTTAAATAAAACCATGAAACAATTAGAAAAAAATTTTGGGAAATATTTTTTATTTAAAGAACAGACCATGCCTTTCTAAGTATAACATTAAACTATAAAAATCAAAATTGTTAAATGCATTATTTAAAACAAAAGCCAAGCACTGATGGCTCACACCTGCAACCCTACCTAGTTGTGAGGCTGAGATCGGGAGGATTGTGGTTTAAGGCTAGCCCAGGCAAATAGTTTGCAAGACCCCATCTCCAAAATAACCAGAGCAAAATGGACTGGAGTTGTGGCTCGGGTGATAGAGCACCTGCTTTTCAAGCGTGAAGCTAAAGACAAAACAAAACAAAAAAACACAACAAATTCTGTCTGCATGGCCATAAACGTCGTAACCAAAGTCTGCTTTCCTTCCTGTGTAAAAGGAATTCCTAAAAATTGTAAGAGAAAGAAGGTTGGTAGAAAAATGGGGAAAATGCTCATAGAAAAGGAAATATGTGTGGTCCTAGTGTTGGGTCTGGGGGATCAGAATACAAAAATGAGCCAGGGCCCCCACTGTCCATGAGAGCACTGTGAGCCCTACATCCTGTAAAGAGACATGTGGTTTCAAAAGTTGATGCCTCAAAATGCCACAAGGCTGATAAGCAGGAGGCTTTCACAGAACTGTGTATATGTTCCTGTAGAACACGTTAAGAGACCACTCCACTCCTGACTCCTGACTCCCCTCCCCAACAGAGTGTGTTCTTACTGAGATATGTCAAAAGACCACTCCACCCCTGACTCCTGACTCCCCTCCCCAACAAAAAGGACCAAATAAAAATCCCTCTTTGTAAACAACAGTGGCCACTGGTTTCAGGGCTCCACTGTACTGCTCTAGCTGCAGCCTTTTCCTTTCTCTCTAATAAATCCTACTTGTGTGCTGACCTTGCCGTCCCACAAGTCAGTTTGCTGCCTCACTGGCCAATTCTTTTGTTTAGTGAACACAAGGACCTTTGACACCAGTCTACAACACTAGGACATATGAAAAGATGCTGAACCTTACTCCTAATGAAAGAAATGCAGGGTCAACTGCACTGAGACGCTGTATTTCCTGTCATAGAGGCAAGAATCACACATTTGGTTACATAGTTGACAAAGGTGTTGCAACCCAGGCTCTGTCCAGCATTACTGGAGAATAGCAGTTGGCAGTAACTATCAAAAAAGCATAAAGCCTTTTACCCAGCAGGCTCTGCTTTACCCTGCCCTACCATGCCCTGTTCTGTTCTGCCCTGCTCTGTCCTGCCTGCTTTAAGCTGTCCTGTCCTGCTCTGCTCTCCCCTGTCCTGCTCTGCTCCTCCCTATACTGCCCTGCCCTGCTCTTCCTGCTCTGCTCTTCCTTGCCCTGATTTTCCCTGCTCTGCTCTTACGTGTCCTGTCCTGCTCTTCCCTGCTCTGCCCCTCCCCACCTCTGTTACTGGACTTCTACCTCTGGCTTATATTTTGGGGCCCAAGACTGCTGAGGGCAAGGCAGTTGTTAGCTATTGGTATTAAAAGAGATTACATTTGAATGTGTTGTATAGAACTGCAGGATATGGCAAGAAATAAGAGACATCCCTCAATTTAAAGGGTGGGAATTCTATTTACATGCCAGAGGATTGTGTAGAGGACAGTTATTTCAATACCCTTTTACACCTAGGAAGCAGAAACCTAGAGTTGAAGGTCATACAACCAGCTAATTGCAAAGCATAAACCAGGACTTGTGTGGGATGGAATTGGGGACAAGGCCACATGAATTCAGTCCTTGTCCTGCCATTCACTTAGGGTGGGACTTTGGTGGGTGACTTCACTTCCCTGTGCCTTGATTTCTGCATCTGTGGAGTGCTCAGTGCTTTGTGAAGTTATGTTGAGCAGTAATGAGGTGTACTGTGAAGTGCTTAGAGGTGGCTTGGAGCATAGTCACTGTATATTAAACGTTAGCTCATTATTCATTATTCTGACTTAAATGCAATATCATTAAGTTTCTTCTTTACCACCAGAGATTAAATGGTGCTTGGTATAATTTTAATGCTATGTGGTTTTAGTATTCTAGTTTCTTGATAGCTTGCTGCTTGGAAGAGACAATGATTGAATAATATTAACCAGCTGGTTCTGCTATAATTCTAGTACTGGGAAAATGTAGGATCAAAAGTTCAAGGCCAGCCTGGCTTATATAGTGAGACCCTATCTCAAAAAAAACCCCCAAAAAACAAAATAAACAAAAAATTAACCAGAATACCTTGTTCCTTAAAAATTCTGAGAATAACTAAGAAATTAACTTGCTCTGTAATCATATGTCATAGGCTTCATAATCTTTTCTTTTTCATTATTGCTTCCCCCAAAGAGGCTTTTTTTTAGTCCTTGTTTCTTGCTTGCCCCTAGTCCTTCCCTGGTCAGATACAGTGCATGCACCTTAATGTACTATGTATCTTCACTTGTACAGAAAAGATGAGGGTTATTTTTCTACCTTCTAAGAACTACCTTCTGGCACTATCAGTCTCTTTGAGAATGCATAATTTAAGATGAGGTAGTACATCCATAAAATAATTTTTTTCTTTAAACCTTTCAATGTAATAGGAAAAATAGCAAAAGATGTATGTTTTTCCTTCATTCTTCTCCCTCCTTTCCTTCCTTACTTTACTGTTCCAAGAATGTGATAGGATAAGCAGAAGTTTTCTCTAGTTTAAATTGATATCTTTTTCAAACAAAAATTTAATTTTTACAGAACAAAGAATTCATATGATCACCAAATTGAGAGGGTGTCCTGTCTCAGGTTTTTTTTTTTTCATTATTGTTGTGCTAGGGGTGCATTGTGGCATTTACAAAAGTTCTTACAATGTATCAAATATGTCATAGTTGGGTTTACCCCCTCCATCATTCTCCTTTATTCCCTCTCCCCCCATTCCTGGAAGTTTTAACAGGTCTCATTTTTTCCATTTACATACATGTGTACACAGTATTTGCACCATATTCATTCACCCTCCTACACCCTTTCCCTACCTCTTCTCCCTCCCACTGACTCCTATCTCAGTTTTAACCTTACTAATGAAGGTTAATTTTTTTTAATCTATTGCTTTCTTACTGGATAATAATAAACTCTATTTGAATCTCCTCTAAAATGTGAAAGCCTTTTTGGGGAAAAAAAAGTTTTCTAGAGACAAGGTCTTACTGTGTATCTCAGGCTGCCCTTGAACCCTCTATCCTCCTGCCTCAGCCTCCTGAGTGCAGGGATTACAGGCATGCATATGCACAACTACATCTAGCACAAAAAGTTAATTTTTAACTGTGGTAAACACATATAATGTAAAAGTTACCATCTTTGCCATTTTTAAGTGTTAAAAACCTTTTGATGACAAGTCAATTTCAAGATTCTGAGATAGAATGTAAAAAGGAAGATTTTTTTAAATGTTGGAGAATGCAAAATGTATTCAGTCTTGGATTTCTTGGTTTGGTTTTTTTTTTTTTTTTTTTTTTGGAGGATGGGACTGAGGTTTGAACTCAGGGCTTTGTGCTTGCAAAGTAGGCGCTCTACCACTTGAGCCACACCTCCAGTTCATTTTGTTCTGGTTACCTTGGAGATGGGGTCTTAAGAACTGTTTGTCTCAGCTGGCCTCAAACTTCGATCCTCCTGATCTCAACCTCTCAAATAGCTAGGATTACAGGTGTGAGCCACTGGCACCTGGCTTGGCTTGATATTTTATACTTGTATGCAATAAATATTTGAATAATTGATGAAATGGGAGAATTAGTAAGCTTGGTCCTTTCATTTCTGTAGGTGGCCGTCAGACCCAAGAGCCAAGAACTCAGAGAAATATAATAAATGTACCTGGAGAAAAACGCACTGAAAATGGGGTAAGTCATGGTGAACTGAATTGAATTTTTAAAATTGCTTTTAGTAGTTCTAATATGTTTGGACTATAATTTATTTGTAAATAATTATTTGGGAGTAGAAATCATCATTTCTATTGAGTGTTTCAAAACATTTTGTGAGGGCTAGAGGTATGGCCCAAGTGTAAGAGCTTCACTTACACTTGTACAAACTTCAGTACAACAAAAAAGAAAAGGGGAAAAAAAAGCATTTTATGAACTTATGAAAGAAGTAGTCCACTGGGTATGTTGACAACAATAATCCCAGCACTTGGGGAGCCGAGGCAGGAAATCTCAGTTTTGAATAGTGAAACTCTAAGTCAATCAGTTAATCAGTTGATTAGTCAAGCAAGCAAACAAGTGGTCCCTGAGTAGTTTTGCCAATCTACACTGTGGTCCCTGAACCAGGGATCTCCATTAGAGAAGGATCTTCTGACTGTGCAGCATGCGCTGCCCAATTCCTGTCCTGGGGCAGGGAATTGTGTGCCCTGTGCATATGTGGAAGCACAGAAGTCAGTGTCTGTCTGGACTAAATGTTGAACAGGCAAATAAACCTCACGTTTTCAAGTGTTGATGTTTGGATTGTTCTGTCAAGATTGAAAGAACAGTTGCTCAGTAGAAAAATAACTTCCTTTATCACTCCGTGCAGATGGGGAAAATAGGCTAAATGTTGTTATTGGTGAGGATGACACGGAGGTCTTCTTTTTTTAGGAATGTTGATGTGCACTGAAAGAATGCACAGAGAAATTTTTAGCCTGGTCTTTTCTAAGAATTTTAGTAATAACTTTTCCAAATAATTTTGAGACTAGAGGATTATTAGCTGGTTTCTTACTGTGGCTTTGTATGTATAGGTGTACTAACTAGGTATGTAACCTTGGGTAAGTTGCTTCCTAACCCAGTGCTTAGCCCAGTTTGATGCTGGTAAGGGCATGAAGTATGGAGTGTGAAGAGCCCATACACAGTTCCCTGGCTTCACAACTTCCTCATGAGCTAAATTTGAGCAAGTTACTTCACCAACTTATATTTGTTATTGTTCTTATTATTGAATAGTTATTTTAGTTCTTTTATTGGACACCTTTGTCACTCTAATCCAGAGTTTCTCACATTTTTGAAATGTTTGCTTAGACTTTCCTGGCCGATCATTCCAAATCCAAAAATCAGGTTGATGCTCAAAACATTTTGGATTTGAATTTTTGGATTAGGGAGGTTTAACCTACAATTAAATCTTTATTTCTTTGTACTATCAACTTTATTTTTTTTCTCTCCTTTTATTTTATTGTTTTTACATTTATTTACATGTATATACATTATTTGTGCCAACTCCCCCCTCCCCTCGTACTATTAACTTTAAGCAGAAATTCTGACCTCAGTCTTTTAAAATAAGGATATTAGTTTCCCCACCTTTTTTCTTCATCTTCCCTCCAACCAGATTTTTTTTTTCAGGTTAAGCCTGCAAATTTAACTTTCTTTTTTTAAAAAATTTTTATTTTATTCATATGTGCATACAATGTTTGGGTCATTTCTTCCCCCTTCCCCCTGCCCCTTCCCTTACCCCGCCTTACCCCTTGCTACCAGGCAGAAACTGTTCTGCCATTATCTCTAATTTTGTTGAAGAGAGAGTATAAGCAATAATAGGAAGGACCAAGGGCTTTTGCTACTTGAGATAAGGATAGCTATACAGGGAGTTGACTCGCATTGCTTTCCTGTACATGTGTGTTACCTTCTAGGTTAATTCTTCTGGAACTAACCTTTTCTCTAGTTCCTGGTCCCCTTCTCCTATTGGTCTCAGTTGCTTTAAAGTATCTGCTTTAGTTTCTCTGAGTTGAGGGCAGCAAATGCTATCTAGTTTTTTGGGTGTCTTACCTATCCTCATATCTCCCTTGTGTGCTCTCGCTTTATCATGTGATCAAAGTCCAATCCCCGTGTTGTGTTTGCCCTTGATCTAATGTCCACATATGAAGGAGAACATACGATTTTTGGTCTTTTGGGCCAGGCTAACCTCACTCAGAATGATGTTCTCCAATTCCATCCATTTACCTGAAGAACATTTCATTCTTCTTCATGGCTGCATAAAATTCCATTGTGTATAAATACTACATTTTCTTGATCCATTCGTCAGTGGTGGGGCATCTTGGTTGTTTCCATAACTTGGCTATTGTGAATAGTGCCGCGATAAACATGGGTGTGCAGGTGCCTCTGGAGTAACCTGTGTCACATTCTTTTGGGTATATCTCCAAGAGTGGTATTACTGGATCATATGGTAGATCAATGTTTAGATTTTTAAGTAGCCTCCAAATTTTCTTCCAGTCCAACCAGCTTTTTCAGCTGTACTAGGCTTATGTTGCCAAAGTTGACAGTATTTGTTTACTGTTACCTAAGTATAATTAAACCTTTTACACTTTGTCCATAGACTGGCTATAAGGTTGAAAACTGCTCAGTAGTTTCATTATTTTAGATTTTGCAGATATTAGCTACTATAGAGCCATGTGGTATGTATGCTAGATTATATTTTCTTCTTCGGTTTCAGTTCCATAATCTTTGTGCCACGCAGGGAGAAATACTCCTGGTGTCAAGATTGTAGATTCTCCTTCCTTACACTCCAGTCTCTAAAGATCATTCCACAAATCCTCATCTCATTCCTGCTATTTGACATATTCATCTGCTCCAAATCTAGAGCCCTGAGAGGTCTGCCAAGTTTATCTGCTTCAAGACAGTATTAGGGATTAAACCTAAGGCTTCTGGGAAGTGCTCTACCTCTTTTTTTTTTTTTTAAGCTTTAACATTATTTGTTGTGCTAGGAACCAAACTCAGGGACTCATGTGTGCCTAGTAAGTGCTCTACCACTGAGGTACCTCCCAGTCCCAACACTCTACCCCTTGAACTACACCTCTAGCCCTTTTTGTGTTTTTATTAATTTTTTGGCAATACTAGAGTTTGAACTCAGGGTCTCACCCTTGCTAGGCCCATGCTGTACCACTTGAGCCACACCCACAACCCTTTTTTGCTTTAGTTACTTTTCAGGTAAAGTTTTGTATTTTTGATCAGGGACCAGCCTCCTACCTTTGGCCTCCCTTGTAGCTGGGTTGACAGGCATATGCTACCACATCTGTTTTATTGATTGAGATGGAATCTTGCTAACTTTTTGCCTGGGCTGACCTTAAATCATGATCTGTTCCCATCTTTTCCTCTTAAGTAGCTGGGATTACAGGCGTGAGCCACCATACCTGGCTTTGTTTTGTTTTTGAAATAAGGCCTTGCTAATTTTGCCTGGACTGGCCTCAAACTTGAGATTCTCCAGCCTCCACCTTCTGAGTTGAACAGAGGCATTGGTGAAAATTGTGACTCAGTAAATCAGCTAGACCAGGCGTTGGTGACTCACACCTATAATTGTAGCTACTTGGGAGGCTAAAATCCAGGAGATCATGGTTCAAATACTTCATGAGATCCCCATCTCCAAAATAACCAGAACAAAATGGATTAGAGGTGGGACTCAAAAGGTAGAGCAGGTGCCAGTGGCTGACGCCTGTAATCCTGGCTACTCAGGAGGCAAATAGTTTATGAGACCCTGTCTTGAAAAACCCTATCACAAAAAGGTGGGCTGGTGGAGTGGCTCAAGGTGAGGCCCTGTGTTCAAGCCCCAATACCACAAAAAAAAAAAAAAAGTAAATCAGGTGGGTTCTAGAACATCTCCCATGTGATCGTGTTGTCCTGCCAGCCAACATAACCTCCAGGCTACCAGGTATACACTAAAGTAAAAATTCAGAACTAACTTGTCCAACAGATTTTTGAAGATCCTTTTGAGATCTAAGATTTACCATGACCTGAAATTCAGGGATAGTGACACAAATACATTGAACTGGTGGTGTGTTGAGGTAACATGTATGTGTTTACATGCTATATGAAGAGTATTCAGAAACAAAGGATTCTAATGATACAATAAAGGAGAATGGTAGTTTTGATATGACAAACCTGTGATCGTTTCTTCCTTGATGAAATTGCTAACATGGAGATAATGTTACATTTTAAGATCAACAAAACTGAAACCTGAAACCAAAATTAAAAATGTGTTTGTACCCTTTATATGAGTTTGTAATTAGAGGAAGGTATGAGACCTCATCTAGAAGAATAATTTAGTGCTGGAAGCATCACATCAATGGCACTACTGTATTTTATGGAATACACACCTGCCTATTAAGCCCAATAGTACATTACTTTGTACAGTACTTTACTCTCTACCCAGCACTTTTATGTGATTTTTTTTTTTTTACAGTACTGAGGCTTGAACTCAGGGCCTTTTTGAGCCACTCCACCAGCCCGATTTTTTGTGATGGGTGTTTTTGAAATAAGGTCTCATGAACTATTTGCCCGGGCTGGCTTTGAACCGTGATGCACCTGACCTGATCTCTGCCTCCTGAATAGCTGGCTCACAGGCGTGATCCACCAGCACCCGGCAGAATTTTTTAATTAATACTATGTAAAAAACATATTTCCCCAAAAAGGTTTTTGTGTATATCCTGAATATAGAATAATGGCACTCTAAGCTTCTATCTCATGGACTGAGACAACTAAGAACAAATCAAGGGAAGGGCAGGATGCCAAGTTGGTGTGATTCATGCCCATTAACAGCTGCTGTGGCAAGAGACTAGAGAAGTTCTGCTGTCTGAAAATTGCAGGTCAGGAAGTCTAGCTAATCTGTGTGGCGGCTTGACTTTGTGCTGTAGGGACACACTGGTTTATTCTCATTCTATATTTCTGTTTTGGGGCTCCCAAGACCACCCCAGGTTTCATGATGTGCTAGCAGAACACACTGGTCTGATTTACCACAGCAAAAAAACACAGCCCAATCAACAAAGGAAAAAAGCATGCATGTTCTGCCTAGGAGTCCTGGAAGCACTTTGTCCTGTAGCTAACCTGACTTAAAATCAGTTTCTGCTTTGTTCTTGAACATCCTCCATGTTGCCAATGCCAGTTGGTTCTGCCTCCTG